ACCTCGACCAGCCGCATCCCAGGAAACAGCCGCCGACCAACTCCCTCGCCCTTCAGAAAGAACCCCCCCTTGCCACGAATCCAGTTGTACGCCCAGTCGAACACAAGCTCTCCAAGACGTGCCGCAAACATCACTTGCACAAGCATCAGCGGGTCTTGAAGCGCGACCGCGGATTTTAGCCAGTAATTTCTGTACGCGGTTTTGCCGATGTTGCACGCCGCCCACTCGCCACAAAGCCACGCGACCTCATCCCAGCGCTCAAAGAGGATCTTGGCACCATCCATCACGACCATCCACCGCGTTTCAGCCGGCCTTACGAACTTTTTGGTCCATGGCTTCGCGGCGGGAAACTCGTCTGCAACGAGCTTCTGCCATCGCAGAAAATTCGTGTTCGAGGAATTTGATCTGCTCGTGTTGTACCAGACCATGCCGAGGAGCGAGAAAACATGCGAGGTCCCCCACTCGTGCCACGAACCCTTACCGAGCGGCCGCGTTTCAGCAGGCCTTATGCATNCTTTATTGGCTCGAGCGATTTTCCATCTGGAAGATCCAGGACACTTTTCGAAATTTTTTCCTAAAGGAAATTTGACCGATTGGCACCCCTAACAGTACACCAGTTTGTACTTGGCCAACTAATGTATTGTATAGCCGGCAGCGGAAGAAGGAGGAAAGTCCAAGTACATGTATTGTCATATATTTATCTCAAGAAACACAAAAAAACGAGTGTATTTCAGCGGAACACCGGAGACCAAAAGCTACCCTGATGGCTTTTCCTTCCACATATCGTGAAGAGTTCCCTGAACCTCCCACCACGACGTGGCTCTACGGCTCTGATGAGTTTCATGAGTAAACGTATGAACGGTCTTCGAAAGAAGGTACTGCGTCTCACGAGACTCGCCACCCCTTCCCTTCGCGCAGAAATACTGATAGCGCTCGCAGTTAAGAAAAATTCTGTACGAAAAGAAACTCAACTTTGTACGAAAAATAAGAAAAAAGGGCTAAGAAACACAGCTCAATCTCGGCCACAACGTAAGAAACGCCCCAATAAGAAACGTGATGGTGCTATACCCCCATGACATCAGAAATCTGCGGTGCTCCCAACCCTCTCCCAAGCTAACAGAAGTGCATTTTGTTATAAGGGGCAGAGTCCTCCCCCCCCCCCCCCCCCCCCCCCCCCCCCCCCCCCCCCCCC